TTAATAAAATGTGAAATCAATTGATTTCTTAATTCCACCTTTTGAATTTATGTTCTTTTAACATTTTTTTCCTTTCCTTGCTTCCACATTTCTTGCTTTCTTCTCCCTTTTCTTTTTACTGCTTCTTTAAATTTTCTCTCATTTCTACTCTGTTTTACAATTATTTGGCAAACTTAAGAAGCATTTCATTTCACAAAAATCAATGAAGCACAAAATAAACTAAAACAGGCACATATCAGAAAGACTGAAAATGCATGCTGATGATCTAATGGGAAGAATCAGCTGTCTTTCCTAGGAGCAATAGAATGAAATGGCTATTTTATAGGACTAGATAAAATACCCCGGCCAGGGGAATCTCTTTATGTTTTTTGATTATGTATGCTGCAATTTTGCTAAATTAATTTATTTTTTCTAACAAGTTTTGGTAAGGTCTTTGGAATTTTCTATATATAAGATCTTATCATTTACAGTGATAATTTAATTTTCTCTTTTCCAACTTCCTTTATTTATTTCTCTTGCTTGATTTTTCTGGATGGCATTTCCAATTTTTTGTAGAAGAAAAGTGGTGAAACTAGTCATTTTTGTCTTGTTGTAGGTCACAATGAGAAAACTTTCAGCTTTTCTTCATTTAGTACAATGTTAGTTTTGGTTTACTATAAATAGGTTATTAGTATCCTGAGGTATATACTTAATATATATTTTATACTTAATATGTTCAGAAATAAGGAGGTATAATGAATTTTATCAAATAATTTTTCTATATCTACTGAAACATTTTCTATTTCTATTGAGATGATTGTATACATTTTTGGATTTGAAGGAGCATTTTCTTTTTATTTTATAAAAGAATAAGACAAATTATCATAAAAACTAATAGGACAATAACAATAGCTATTACACTGTGTATTTATCTTCAAAGTAATAACTTACTTTTGAATTGGGTCTTTATATTTTGGGGGGTCTAATTTTTTCAGTTCTTAATATGTTCTAGATATTAGTCTTTTGTCTGAGGGCTAATTGGCCAAAATTTTTCTTTTCACTACAGTGAAAATAGTCTTTTCCCTCTATTGATGGTTTCTTTTGCTGTGCAAAAGCTTTTCAATAGGATGAGATTCCAGCTGTTAATTCTATGTAGTGTTTACTGCATGACTGGGGTTTTGTTTATGAAATTTTTTCCTATATTTACTTCTTCAAGTGTTTTACCTATTCTCTTTTCCAGCAGATTTACTGTTTCTACTTTAATATTTAGATCTTTGATCTATTTTGACTTTAGTTTAGTGTATGGTGAGAGACCTGGGCTTAGTCTTACTTTTTGGAGTTTGGAAAGCCAGTTTTCCAACACCATTTATTAAAGAGACTATTTCTCTTCCTTGAACATGCTTGGCCCCTTTGCCAAGGATCAGGTGGCTGAGTATGTCTGGAATTGTATCTACATCTTCTGACCTGTTCCATTGATCCTTAGGTCTGTTTTTTTTTTTTTTTTTTTGTCAGTACCATGTTGTTTTTTATCATAGTGGCTTTGTAGTGTAATTTTAATTCGGGGATTATGATGCCCCCAGCTTTGCCTTTGTTGTTTAGGATTGTTTTTGCTATTCTAGGTCTCTTCTGATTCTAAATAAATTTTAGGAATATTTTCCCTAGATCTGTGAAGTGTGCTAATGCAAATTAAAACATGCTGAGAGTTCATCTCACTCCAGGAAGAATGACAATTACCAAAACATCAACTAATAACAAGTGCTGATGGGGCTGTGGGGACAAAGGACTGCTTCTCCACTGTTGATGAGAGTGCAGACTGGTGCAACTACTGTGGATGCCAGTGTGGAAATTCCTCAAACAGTAGGATAAGAGGTCCCATTTGACCCAGCAATTCCCTGCTGGGTATCTCCTGGAAGAATTAAAAACATCATACCACAGTGATTTATGCTCACCCGTGTTTATAGTAGCACACTTTGTAATAGTTATATCATGAAAACAACACAAGTGCCCACCAACTAAGGAAAGATGTGTTTTTTAAAAATACAACGAAGTACTGCTCAGCCATATAGAAAGATAATTTGAGACATTCCTAGGTAAACGGATGCACCGGGAGACCATACTTTTAAGCTAAATAAATAGGACACACACGTGTAAATATCTCATTTTCTTTGATACAAGAAACTGAAAAGGTTAATAAGAACTACAGTGTATAATAGGTATAGTGAAATAGGAAGAAATTGTTAAAAATACAGGGGGACAAGGGAGAGATGAGGGGGAAAGGAAAGGAAAGTATGATAATAGAAGGATAAAATGGAAACAAAGCTTTGCAAATAAGGAGAAGAGTGGCTGAAGGGATGGGAAAGGATTGGAGAAAAGAAGAAATGGAATATATCATGTACAGGTACAAATTCCCTATGATGGATGTGATCATTGTGTGTATCTAAACTGTACCAATAAACTTAATAAAATTAAAAAATCCAAAGTAATTACTCAGTACAAAGCATAAATGCAAAAATATTCTTACAAACAAACAAACGCTAACACAAGCTTTCTTTTCAACTTGGACAGAATATCAGTATAAATGAAACCAATTAGCATACATATTGAAATATTTTTAAAATAATGGAACATGCAATTTGGAGATGCATTTGAATTTCTCCCTGTACAAACAAAGATTACAATGGTTTTCACTGTTCTGTTGATGTATTGTATCACACTGACTTGCATGTGTTGAATATCCTTGCATCTCTGCAATGAATTTTCCTTGACCATAGTGAATCATCTGCTTAAGTGCTGTTGGAGTCAGTTGGCTAGTACTTTATTGAGGACTTTTACATTATATTTATCAAGGACACTAGCCTGTGGTTCATAAGGCTAATCATAATGAATAAAAACAACCTTGTACTTAAAAGGTATAGTGTAGCTTCTGATAGATATTATATTTTTCCTGAATGCTAGGTTACTTAGGCTTACAAGGTAGGTGGGCTGAAGATGCGACTCAAATAGAATGATTTCTTAGAAGGGATTTCTATGTAAGAGGAGGGACATTAGAATGGCCAGCAGATAATGAGACCTGTTAAAATTAATATATATTGGAATCAGGGAAAAGAACTGCTCTTTCTGGCTCTGACTTAATCTATCTATGACACTCAGGTAGCCTCTCTGGCTGAGAATCTGTAGCCTAAGGCTGGGTAGAGAGGAATGGATGTAGCTATCTGACACAGACAGTTTGTTTTTACAGACACCTATTACTGTCAGCCCCCAAGGCTAAGGCTCTGCTTCTAGGCCCTGATAGATATGTTTTGCTTGGGCCTGGAAGCAGGATTTGAAGCTGATTCTGAGATATTGTAGAGAAACATATTCATATGGGTACCATCACTCTTGCTCTAATAAGCATACTTAATAATCAAGAATCCTCCCTACTGCCTGGTGGCTCTACTAGGCTGCCTATAAAGCCCCCACTTGGGCGCTTGTTTAGTTACTACCCTGTTATGGGGCTGAAGAGAAGTTGGTGGTATTTTCTGCTGATCTGACCAGGTAAGGAGACTATATGTATAGGTACGAACTGGAAGGAAAGAACTAACGGCTGAGGAATGGTATAAAGATAGAGGGTCTCAAAGGAATAATGGATGGAAGTTTTGAGTAAGGTTGTTTAAAAGTGGATGGGTGTAAGCAATCCTGGAGGAAATTGGAAGAGGAAAATGGAGGACAGGTGGGAAACTAAAAGGGAAATAGAAAAGGAGATATGAGTTAGAATTCTCTGCCTATGACCATAATTGGGCAACAAGCAATTAGTATCATTAGCTGAAGCTTCCTGTGTTTCTAGATCTTACTTTAATAGGTAGCAATGAGATGTGAAACACAACCAAACTTCCAAGTGTCTTATATTCCAAGCAGAAAAAGGAGAGTGCAGTTGTATATCTGAATACTAGTATCAGCTCTGCCCTCCTACTGGAAATCTAATTAAATGTCCAAGCACTAAGTTATATGAAGATCTAGAAGTGGAAAATTTCAGTTTAATGCATCCTCGATTTGTCAGAGCAGGTTCTGGATTATGGAGAAATAGAATTCAGAGTTGACACGCGAACAGATGATAGAGGTTGGCAAATGATGAGGATGGCACTGTATCATTATCGATGCCAGAAAGTGGGGATGTTGACATTTGAATCACTAAGGTATAGCACTGTATGGGTCTCATTCAAGTCATTATGTGTGACTAGCCTTCTGGATATGTTTGGGCAGAGGTTACCTTCCTCCGGACCAGTAAAATGGAGATTTGTACCTAGAGTCAGAAAGCCCTAGTTCATTTTTCTTTTTCTGGCTAGTGGGCAATGTATAGAAAGACCTGAAACTAGGCTCTGCAGATTGCACTACAATTGGAGAAAACCCTTGTCTCTTCCTTCTGTGTACATCTGTCCATCCCATGAGACACACATTCCTCAGCAGCAAAAAGAGCCACTGTTTTCTCTTCTACTCACATCATTCCATGATATTTTTGTCCTTTGTGAGACATTGTTTCAAAGAACAGAAGGTCATCAGTACCTGCTTTATCTGTATTTCACTTGTGAATGACTTTTCCACTCCAGACCCCCCTTTCTATACAGCAGCACACAGGAACACATGTAATGCAAACATCTGTAAACACTCACACATGTGTTCAAGTAAATTTGGATTCCACCAATGTTCTTTACAGAGCCATGAAGACACATTCTTTCTTTTACTTATGCTCATCTCTATCTCTTTGAATCAGGTAGAGATATAATAGAATATATTTTTATTTAAAAGAAGAATTTCACACTATACAGGGATGTATATCTTGTGTGGCTGGCCTCTCTGAGGATCTGAAGTTTAGTAAAATATAATGAAATTTGAATTTAGTAAATCTGGTTTTGAATTTTGAATCTTTGTCTATTTGCCTTGGATATAAATGACCTTGTTCCATTGTTTTCTGTGAGATGAGAGAAAATATCCCTTTTAAACTTTTCCTAGGGTTAAATAAAAGTATGTATAAGGAAATTAGCAAAATGTATGATATACACAAAGAATATTATTTCTCTTTTCTCTTATTGTATACTCTTTCTTCTCCCACTCACAATATATCTTAGCCTATAATGTCTAAGGAAGTTATTTCCCCATGGTTCATAATTTTATCAAAACTTCCAGGCTCAATTTATATTTCTCTTGTCTATTCTTTATCTAGTTATCCATGCTTTCTCATGTAAACATATAACAATCTGCAAAAAGTGCCAATTGTGTGTCTTTGGAGAAAAGGATGATCAACATTGTTCCCCCCATTGGGCTTTTTAGTGGGATATAGAAATACGGTCGAGTAAGAATACAAAATGTTATAAAAACATGCATAAATTAATATTTGTATTGCACAGTAAATTTTGTATTGCACAGAAATTCCTGGAGAATTATCACAGAGTAAGAGACTCATGAACTACCCAGCATTCCAATTTGTGGGGCCACATCCACCAGCCTATTTCTGACATGTTCTCTTTTTTATTATTCCCTACTTCAATTTCATTTATCACATACTGTGGAGTGTTTTCCATGCCTTTTGCCATGCTAGAAAGTGATCTCAAGTAAATTCATGCATGGACATAGCCAGGCCGTAACAGAAGGAAACTCGTTAAGTTGGAATAATTCTGTAAATTGACACAACTGGCTCGATCATCAAGAGAAGAAAGATCAGCAAGGGGGAGTGAAGAATTTGTTCCTGTGTCCTCATAATAACATATATGCAAACATCCATGGCCTCATCATAGCCTAGTGGTAAAGCAAGGCATGTTCTTGACAGTGAATCATTAAATTCTCAACATGACTTTAACAAAATACCAGAACAAAAGGAGAAACCAATATGGGGTAGGGCATTTCTGTCTAAGCTTACTCACTTGTACTAAATCAAGATGTTGGAAGCCATTTATTCCACAGCAATGCTTGGAAATTTGGACAAGACTCTTTAGGACAGTTTGCTCCCAGTAAATGGGTCCAAATGCACAAGGTAGATATCCAGGATGAGGAGTGAGAATGAAACTGCAAAGTATAAAATAGAGAAAATAGTTGGACTTAATTACTTCAGAAGGCTTGAGAAACCATCCAGAGGATGTAAAAGACACAGTGAATCCCAGTCTCTCAAATATGTGGAGTGAGGAAAAAAATGAAGGACATAATTACTGAAATTATCCCTGTACAGGAAGCAAAATAAAGAATGCCTGACATTAAAAAGATAAGATAGTTCTCGATTCAGGCACGAGAGTCCTCTGGAGACAATATCCTTCCCAGCTTCTAATCAGGACACATGGAATTGGATCACATACATGTCCAGAGTGGTTCTTATGTGCTTCTCCATTATTTCTGGAGAAACTGGTATAGCTTGGAGACTTAAGCTAAAGGCCCGTCAAGCTGTAAATGTGAAAGTTGTTTTGCTGGAATGTATGCATATGTGTGACAAAATTTTAAAAGCATTTCTTCTTTGAAGTCAAAACTGGTCTGAAAAATAATGTTTGAATGTGCCTGAGGAGTTGATACTTATAGTCTGGCAGTGCTTATAAACCAGAGACAGCAAAATGGGCCACAATCTAACAAGAAAAATCCAAGACATTGGAGGAATATGTGATAGCTCTAAATACATGCATTAGATCAAAAGCTTTGAATAAGGGGACACAATTGTGTGATTTGGGAAGGATTTATTAAAGGCTTGGGATTTACACAAGGGATCAAATGACAAATACTATCATTACCATGTTTCTTTTCAGGGTGTGTCTTCCACTGACCATGTTAAGGTTCAACAACACTACCTCCTCCTCCTCCAACTTCCTCCTCACTGCTTTCCCCGGACTGGAACTTGTTCATATCTGGATCTCCATTCCTGTCTGCTGCCTCTACACCATTGCCCTCTTGGGAAACAGCATGATCCTGATCATCATTATTACCAAGCGGAGTCTGCACAAACCCATGTACTATTTCCTCTCCATGCTCTCAGCTGTTGACCTGTGTCTGACCATCACAACCCTTCCCACTGTGCTTGGGGTTCTCTGGTTTCATGCCCGGGAAATCAGCATTAAAGCTTGTCTCATCCAAATGTTCTTGCTGCACACCTTCTCCTTCCTGGAGTCGTCAGTGTTGGTAGCCATGGCCTTTGACCGCTTCATGGCTATCTGTAACCCACTGAGGTACGCTGTTGTCCTCACAGATACGATGAGCCTGGTGATCGCACTAACCGTGTGCACGCGGCAAGTAATTTTTTCTTTCCCCTCTGTCATAGCCTTGATCAAAGAGTCTTTCCACGGAGGTCAAGAGCTTTCCCACCCATTTTGCTACCACCCGGATGTGATCAAATTCACATATTCCAAATCTTGGGTCAGCAATTTTACAGGGATGTTTCTTCAGCTCTACCTGAATGGCACTGACTTACTGTTCATTCTTTTCTCCTATATCTTGATTCTCCGAACTGTTCTGAGCATCGTGACCCCAAAGAAGCAACAAAAAGCCCTCAGCACTTGCGTCTGTCACATCTGTGCTGTTACAGTTTTCTATGTGCCAATGATCAGCCTGTCTTTAGCCCACCGTCTTTTCAGTTCTACTCCAAGGGTGATTTGTAGTACTTTGGCCAATATTTATCTGCTCTTACCACCTGTACTGAACCCCATCATTTACAGCTTGAAGACCAAAGTGATCCACCAGGCAGTGACCCAGCTGTTCCAGTTCAAAAGGTTGAGGGGCATCAGAATGAGAGGACTTGGGGTAAGGTGGAATCGAAGAGGGATAAGTTCTAGCACATCAATTATGATTAATTAGGGAAGGGATTTGGGGCAGTGTCGTCCACAGACATTGCAGGGACTGAGGCTGATCCAACTGGATCACAACAGTGAGAAGAAGAGAGGTTCTTTTCTTTCAGTTTATGAAAGAGACGAAAAAAATCCACAGTTCAAAACCAAACCAATTGTTTATATGTCTCTCAAAATTTTAACACAAACAAGGATTATAGCAAAGTCATTTTTCTTCAGTGGAACAATATATCTACTTTAAAGCTATAATCCTTTGACAAGAGAGAAGTTATAATAATTTTATTTTTACATTCAAAGATCTGTCTTTCCCCTGAGATTAAATTTTTGTTTTTCTCAGGGGACAATGAAGATTTTTCCTTGAGTTGGTGAACAGGAAGTTACATGCATGTGGAAAGGCACATAGGCAGAAATTTGTAATTGGAAACTCAAAATCTTGTGCTCCACTTTTGGTTCTTAGAGTCATTTCTACAGGGGTGTACTGGCTGTAATTCTATCTTGATCATTTTTTGTAGCAACAGTGATACTTTTACAGTTCTAATTGCTATTTTGTGTACCTCCAACAGGTCCAATATAAAGTTTCATCTTACCTTTTGATTTTTTTCCCATTACCTAAATATTCTAATATATTTCTGATTCTTACTCCATAGCTACTTTTCAGGGCTGACTTGGCCTCAGAACTGTGTCCTTTGTCTAAATGCACCTGCTTGCTTCCCCTCCCCTGTTAGCTGCTTCCACCCCACTGTACTTGTCAATGTAGAGTTTCAGGATAACTTGGATGGTGTTCAGAATGTTGCCACTGTCTTTATTAAGAGTATTTACTTTGTGAAGAAGTAGCTACAGATACTGAATTGATAGAGTGTTAGAAATAATTCTGCACTTTGCTTCCACATATATTTATGGAATGGTATTTACACTCAGGATAATTGATATCTGAGCACAGCGCACCTAGCAGGTATTCTGATTTGAGCCTTCCTCCCATCAGTCTCTTACTCTTTGGTAGACAGAAATACTGCCAGGCTCAAACTCTGCTTTGTTTGCCTCAGTTTTCTGTTAATCTGCATTGCTCTGGTGAAATACTGATGGATTTGTGACTGTGATTTGCTAAAACCACCATGCCATTTATCAAATAATTACCAACAATAGTCACATATTATTCATAATTAAATAATTTGTATGATTTTTCATTTAGATATGTCATTGGTGTTATACAAACATTCCAAATTGCATGGAAGAAGTCACTATTCTAAAATTAGAAAAAACCAGAGCAGTGATTAACATAGGAAGCAGTGCAATTGGAAGTAAATTTCAGTTTTCCAGTCTCCAGGTCAAGCACTACAGCCAAAATCTTTCCTGGTTTTGTGCACTTTGTGGGAAGTCTTTGTAATTCATTGCACCACAATTCAGTGTTTTGTGGAAATGAAATGTGAGGTGGGAATGAGACACTTTTCCTTAGACAGAATCACACTGGCACAGACGCTGACCCTGATGGAGAGGGTGTCTCAGATCATAGCCTCATCTAAGCATCTGAACATAGCTGTTCATCAGTTCTTACAGATATCTCTGGCACTGTGCTACTTTATTTGAGGACCTTAACAGTATTCTTTTATAGATCTACAGTTCCCTATTAATAGTTCAGAAATTTAAGAGCACTTAGAAAAATTCCTCTAAAATTTTTCTTAGTGTCAATATTAATTGGCCAAATAACCCTAATGAACTGATGTCAATATATTTGTGGTCACTATTCATACATTATACCTTAGAATTACCATTGTGTTTGAATATAAAGTGATGTTTCAAAGGCTAAATGGCCTTCTTAAAGTATAAAAAATACTGAATTTCAAGAGTTTTAGATGATCGCTTGTGGGACTGTGCAGCAATTCTCCTGCTTTTATGATGATCCTTATGTAAAGCAGTCTGCCTTACATGTGATACTCTACTACCCCAAATGTGGTTTTCAAAAAGCTCAACATAGAACTGCCTACTCCGTACTGAGTGTTTTTATAGATGTACTTTGTCTCTGTGGTGGAAATTGTAAATAAGATGTGCATTTGTGTTTTCTTGTAATTTCTAGTCATATATTTAACTTGAGTTTTTCTAATTATGTCACATTTATTATATGTAATTCAAACTTTCAAACATATGAATAAATATAGAAAATTATTAAATAGATAAATATTATTCATAATATCCCTAATGAAAGATTATGTCTGACTCTATTAAAAAACCTTTGTGGTACTTGATTATTTTTTACTATGTGAATATATGGACACACATACATATATATTTCAATTAAGATTATTACATGCATATTTTCCTTGTATAATTACATGTATACATGTAATTGCATGTAAGATATACATGTATAATTGCATGCATATTTTCCTTGTTTTTGTGATTATTAATAGTTTCATGAAATCATATTTTATATTGTGTTCATAACATGTTTTTCTAATTATGTCACATTTAGTATATATAATTAAAATTTGTGAATATGTGAATAAATATAAAAATTATTAAACAGGAAATATACTTTACTTCCTCAAGAAAACTTAATTCTCTTTCAAAATACATAATTTATCCTTCTCTTTATGTGTGCTTGAACTTATCATACTTTCCTCAGTGAATATAATAATTTATTTGTTCTCCAAACCTGTGTAAGATGCTTGATATCTGATGTTTTATATTCCTCTTAATCCTTAACACCTGATATATTACCTAGTAAATACCACTTAATTGTTAATGTTTGGTTGTATGGATGAAATATATTGAATAATACTTTTATCATAGTTTATATCACTGTTTAACATTTCAGTAACTCTTGACACATATTCATATAAATATATATTTGATAACACCACTGATTGGGTCCTTAGATTCCTAGAAATGTAAATTATTAGATTTGGGAGGAAGATAAATAATTTTGTAACTAATATGCCTGAATTGTAGGATTGACCATCATATGGCCTGGATTTAGATTTAATCTATGAAAACTTTAGAGCTCTACATCTTTGGAAAGTTGTTTAATGTTTTGGAAAACTTTACTTTCTTAGTGTACAGAGAGAGAGTAAATAATAAAACCTATTTTTCTGTGCTTTTGTGAAACTAATGTTGGTAAGAGAAGTAAACAGCTTAATGCTAGAGAGCTTGTACACACTGAGTATATCTTATACCTATTAGTTTACAAGTTACAACTTGTTACATAGTTACATAGTTACAACTATGTAAAGATTATATAATTAATTGCATTTTAACATACTTTTCTACTGTTATTTCCTTAAAAAGTTGCTCCTATCCAAAGACTACTTATTAATTGAATTTAAGTACAATTTAGAGCTATCTTTGTATTCAATTATTTCAATTTATTTATTTGTGTGACAAAATATCAAACATACATTTTAAAATATGTTCTCATTTTTCCAAGCAGTGTTATTTGACTAAAGGATTTGTTTTGTTTAATATTCTGATATAGTTCTTAATTATATGTTGTTTTCACTTTTGGGTGGTGCATTGAAATGCAACTTTTATTTTTCTTTTGCTCATTAATTTATTGAACCAATTAGACAAATTTACTTCTGTTTAATAAATTTTATGATTATATTCACTTTATCTTGGTTTCTATTTATTTATATTCTCTAACCTCAAGTATACCCAATTTTATCATTATTTTAATAAGTTATTCCAAAATATTATTGTAAACTTAATGAGAAGTTATGAAATTTAGGTGGTAACTGAGATTTTAGAAAGACTAATTTTTATTGAATTTACTCTTGTGATCCAGAAACAACATTTATTGTCATTTTATGACTTAGGCATTCCTGCCTGAATCAGGTTTGAATTTCTGAACTTTGAGTGATCACTAAAAGAAGCACAGGCATTCCTTCTTATTTCTTTTATGCTGATGTTTACTTCTTCAGTGGTTTTATAAAAAATGAGCTGTTTTTTGAAGGCAGATTCACTGACTTTAAATTACTAGTTACTCCTCACTGATTTGGACAGAAGAGTTTTCTATTATTCCAGATGTTCATTGCCCTTATAATTTGTTATCATATTTTAAGCTGTCAGAATTAGTTTCTTTGATGTTTTGATCCATTTGTCTCCCTCAAGTAAGTTGGGAACTGTGTCAGTCTACTCGTGACATGTAACTTCATAAATACTGTGGAAGTACTAGCGTTGTGCCAGGGGGCTGGGGATTTAGCTCAGCGGCAAAAGCGCCTGCCTGGCAAGCGCAAGGTCGTGAGTTTGGTTCCCAGTGCCGGAGAAAAACCAAAAAAAAAAAAAAAAAAAAAAAAAAAATAGAGTTGTGCCAATAAATTTAGTTTATACAAAATTTGAGGGAACAATAAAAAACAAGAAAGGAAGAACAGACATGAACTTAGTATTATAACAAATATTTGGTTAACGAACTTTTTGGTTCATTGAGAAAGAACCAAGAAGAAACAATCAAATTCGTTCCTTCCTTCTCTTATTAGGTGATTATCTATTTAGGGTAAGCTCTTGAACAGTAAGAATGTAGTTTAATTCAACTGGGAACATAAAATATAAGACTATTTAGGCAACAGGGGAAAACTTTTTCAAAATTGTTCTTTGGAACAGAAATAATAGTAATTGGTCAACTTATGTAAGAAGTAAAACATTCAAATTTATTAATAGTTTTCTCTCAGTCAAAATGCTAATGATTAGCTTATTCTAAGTACTACTTCTCATACTTTTGTCTAGTAATAAATGGTCACAAATAAAAGACAAACCAAAGGGGCTGGAGATATACCTCAGTGGGACAAGTGTCTGCCTGGCAAGCGTGAGGCCCTGAGTTTGATTCTTGGTACCAAACAAAACAAAACAAAACAAAAAAAGACAAACCAAAAACAAAGGAGTTTTACAGAATATCATTTGAGGAACCCAGTCACCATTAGTTGGCTGTTTATCTTTTAAAAATATGGAATGTGAGGTTGGGGATATAGCTCATTGGCAAAAGCGCCTGCCTGGCGAGTGCCAGGTCCTGAGTTTGATTCCTGCTACAAAAAACAAAACAAAACAAAACAAAAAACTCTTAAAAATATGGAACCATACATGTATGCACACATAAGACTTTATATTACATACTACATAGATATTTTTACTGGTTTAAAATTATTTCTAGTGTGTTTAGTGTAACTGACTCTATTATAATGCAAAATACTCAATACTCCAACAACCATGAAACTATTAATTTATGACAAATATTTTACCTCACAGAATCAAGATTAGCATTTCCTTTAAAGTTTTCATACACATGTTATTGTCTTTCCTACTTCTTACCAATAGCACAACATCCTCTTTCTCCTTATAGTAGATACTACTTCTCAGATCCCTTGAATATTTTAAAGAAAAAATTTTTTTAAAAAAATGTTGGAGAGTTTATTATCAAAATTCAAGAGTATAAAAGCTCTGAGGTAAAAGAAATATTGGTCATCCCTATTTGATTTGTAAGGAAAAAGCAAAAGAAGGAGATTGCTAACCCACTCTTAACTGACAAGAGACTTCTTTCATTTAGATGGGAAATGAAGAATCCCTACAAAATTAACTGACATCCCTCAAAAAATTACAATATACCTGAGAGAGAGAAAATTAGCAAATGGAATGTCATAACACAATTTACCCTTCCACTTCTCTGTTATTCATCATTTTCAAGGGACAGGATCGATTTTTATAAGCACAGCATTTAACTTTTGTGCTGTAAACTAAAATGTCCTTATCAGTAATTTAACTCACAATGTACAAATACTATATAATTGTCCCTATCAGTACCCATGCCAGTCCTAGGTTTCTAGATCCAATCCTAGTACCTGGGCCATAGGTTGCACTGAATACAAAGATGATTAAGAAAGGTAATGAATAATTGATAGTATTTGCTTAGACAGGTATTATTTTCTTCCCTTACAGCCTGGTGGACCCTCCTTTATATTTTTCCCCACAACCTTAGTTTAGACCCAGTTTCCCTAGAACTCTTTGTCGAATTTGCTTTGTCTTCACACAGTATATGATGGGGTTCATCAGAGGTGGCACCAGCAAGAATACGTCAGCACTGAGGATCAAGGCCATTGGAGACTTGTGCTTGCCAAAGCGGTGCATGGATGCTAAAGCAATGATGGGCACATAGACGATGAGGACAGCACAGATGTGGGAGACACAGGTATTGAGGGCTTTGAGCCGTTCCCTGTGGGACGCAATTCCCATCACTGTCGTCAGGATGGACACGTAGGATACAGCAATGAACAAACCGTCTGACATCATGCAGAGGGCAACAAAAAAGCCATAGAAAAAGTTGACTGTGTTGTCAGAGCAGGCCAGTCTCATGACGTCCTGATGGAGGCAATAGGAGTGAGAAAGTAGGCTTTTCCTGCAGTA